GGGAATGCTAGAACAGTTGTAATTGTGAAAAATGATCATAAGTCACTTTTTCAGTGCCATTCTAACTTTGAATGGTCACTAAACGAACTGTTGTAAGTACTTACTTCAACAGAGTCTCCAAAACAACAGAATAGTGGCATGATTGATTTATTTCAACGATGTAGTCCTCTGAAATCCTACTTGAAACCTTACCTCTTGATTTTAAACTGTGCAACTTATTCCTGCTGCTGAAAAGATATCCTCTGTTTTTTCTAGATGAGACACATATAAAAGGGAAGGGACTTTCACCATGTGGTTGCAGCCACCATCTTAATTTTTTTACTTTCTTTGCAGGTGCCTATGCTTTTTATTGTATAGGACTCTCCAATGTTATCATGTACCTCTCTCATATTTTCAGAACTGGAGGTCCTCTTCCTAAGTAATTCTGTAAGATACTGGTATTAACTCAGCTGCTATCTCCCACAGAAACATCTCCTACTTTTCTATATCTTCCAGTGAAAAAATGGTAACAATCCCACTGTGTGGTACATGTAGAGTGAGTGGAGGTTTAGTGTTGGCATAATTTCAATGGGTCACACAGGCAACTATTAATTGGGTGTAGTCTAGGGAAGCACAACTATTCAGTAATGCTAGAACTCCTCAACAAAATTGTAGCTCTCAAGAAAGAAAGATCTTCTTAACAGGATATCTAGAACTGGGTGTGGGTGAATTTGTTCCTGAAAACTTGACCTTTATTCAGCCTTGCCCCTGTCTTCATCACGCCTTCTTTATGCAAGGCATTCTGAGGTGCAAAGTTAATTCCAAGCTTATCCAAAGGGCTTTGATTGTAATCAAGACTGTTGATGCCTCAGGTAGCTTGGCAAAAGGGAAGAGGGAAACTTAAATTCTAAAATAATACACCTGCCAACTGCTGTTATCTAGCAAAGCTAGTTGTATCAAAATTTCTTTGATAAATAATGACATGTGCTAGACTTAACTGTGATTAATTTTTGATGGATTAGATCACTAATTCTGAATATATAAGTAATATAATGGTGATGGCTACAATAATCTATGGAGTATAGTATTGACTGTATTCTTTAAAACCCTAAATCAAACTATAGTTTATAAATTATAATGCCAAAACCAAACAAACCACACTGTCACAGTGTAATGAATGAACAAAGCCAGTATGTTGAACTGTTGTATCAGTTGTTTGTTTTAGATTAGTACGTTATGTGAACAGTCTGCTAACTAAACCACCAGTTTTGACTTCTAATTGCCTAGAATGGAGATTCTTGATTAAAAGAAATGGAGTGTGACTCTTACAACTTTCATCATATATTCCTATTCTAGGTTATAAGCATCATAAAACTGCTTCCCCGAACACAAGGATAGATGGGAAGTGGAAAGCAAAACAGAAGTGCCTGTTTCAAATTTCCAGCTCTGTGTTCAGTAATTGTATTAGGGCTTCTTATGTATGGCTACTATACCCAGTGTTTTAGGATATTTCTGGAAAACGCAGAATAGTTGGAACGAATTCGCCATCATTTATACACTTAAGAAATATAAACTGGTAAATGTAGCACACCTTGATCTAATAAAATACATGCAAACAGATAACTAGATTCTGCTGCTAAGTGGCATGTATCATTGGCATAATTCATTTTATAACTGCAATAGCTATCAAAATGTGTCCTTGAAATATTTTCCTTTGCTTTTAAAACTGATTTTGTTCACACATCATACCAAGTCATGCTTCCTTTAGTCAGGTATGGTTACGTAGTCCACTGTTGTCTGGGTTTGCAAACATACATACAGATAACTAGAGTGCATGTATACGTAATGGCCGGTACTGTACTCACATTCATTGTGTAGCAGAAAAAAATTCAGCAGATGTGATTTTTCTTTCTCTCTAAAATGCAAAAGAAAAAAAAACAGCTGCTAGTGTTAAAGGAATTAACTGGATTGAATCTTATTTCAAGGATGGACATGGGAACACGATCTCCATTGCATCTGAGACCCCTATTAGAGCATACTTGGGACACAGTTCTTACCCTTCACTGCCTCTCCAATATTTCTTTCACCATCGGTCACCTGACTGCTCATGAGATGGCAAACTTTGGTCCTGCTTCTGAGATAATAGGAACCTTTGTGAGTTGGGAAATGGCAATCCACGTGGTCTGTGGAAAAAAAGGAAGTTAGCGAGGGACAGTTAATTGGTTTAAATTGTAAATAATGATCCGTAATAACTCTCTTACACTTTCTTACGTCTGGTCGGTCAGAGATGGAAAGCGAAAAGACATCCCTTTCTTACTGTAAATATTCCTTCAATTTAGGAAGAGAAAGTCTGTGCGTGGATGAGGTCTCAGGGACCTGGATCGGGTCGTGACTTAGTCACTCTTGGGGTCCCGACGACGACTGAGTCTTCCTCTGTGGGCTTGGCAACAGCTGCATTTCCTGAGGCCAGTCATCCTGTGAGCCACAAGTGAGGCAAAGGGGAAAGGAAAGCCCAGAATAAACTTGTGGAAAAGGAACAATAGGCTTGAGAAGAGCAGAAAGACGGTAGGGGACACATGTCAGACAGACATATGCCAGGCTGACCAAATCTTGGATTAGTAGAGAGGAAATGGCACCAGGTTTGAATATTCTATGTATATGTAACTAGTTGGTGAATTTCACTGTCACTAATGAATGGAGAAATTCTTTTCCTTTCCAACTGTTTCTTGCAAATGGATCTTCTGACATTAACACTATGAACCTATACATATTTAGTCGAGGGTGGATCCTACTGTACACTGACAGAATTAATTTTAAAAGCTACTGGAAGAAATGGAAACCCAGGTTTCTGACTGAAAACAACTGTTGCATTGCTAATGCACATTTCATCCAAGAGAAAGGGGTGCATAATGAAATAAAACGCGACCCGCTGAACAAGAAGGATGGAAGCAACAAATCAAATTTTGTTCAGTGGGTCAAGTTTTATTTCATTATGCGCCCTTTTCTCTTGGGTTATGTACATGTGATAAATTGTGTGTTATGGGTTACGTGTGCACGATAGAAGGTATAGATAGAAAATAGTGCAAATCAAACAGAGGTGAAAGTGTCATGTCTGTTCAAGAGTAAAAAGCTGTGAACAGGAGAATGGAGTCGGTTCTTAATTTCTAATCCTTATTTGACACAAAGCTGACCAAGCTTTCAGCTGCGAAATATTTAGACAACACTCAGGATCCCACTCCTCATCCTTCACCCATAAGTCACAGTCACACAATACTCTTAATCCATCATCTTACTTGATTCAATATACTGAAACCAACCAAATCCACTGGGCTTGTAATCAAGTTACACCCCAAAATACACACAAGGCAAGATTAAAACAAACCAAGTTAACCTGTAGTGTGAATGCACCTGCTGGAACATTTATGCATCTGATTATGTATGTTGGGTGAACAGGTCAAGAAGTACCTAAGCCACACTAGCAGCTTTTTCCTTCTCTACAGAATTTCTAAGGATTGTAGAAAATCACCTTAAGAAATTGCAGAACAGGAGACACAGGAATAAGAATTATTACTCTGGTTTAAATAAGATAAGATAAAAGAGAGAGAAGAGGATGCTATATTTCCAGAAGAAACACAATTCTAGGTTATACAGGAAAATACCTCCCCAAAGTTGCCGTTAGAGGTAGACAGAATTTCCGTGACTTGAATACAGGTAGTCCTTGACTTACAACAGTTCATTTAGTGACCGTTCAAAGTTACGGCACTGAAAAAAATGACTTATGACTGTTTTTCACACTTACAACCATTGCAACATCCCCATGGTCACACGATCAAGATCCAGACACTTGGCAACTGACTCAGTGTTCTGGGATCATGTGATCATCTTCCTTGTCCTTCTGACAAGTCAATAGGAAAGCCAGATTCACTTAACAACCATGTTACTAATTTAATAACTGCACTGATTCACTTAACAACTGTGGCAAGAAAGGTCGTCAAATGGGGCAACATTCACTTAACAAATGTCTCACTTAGCAACAAAAAATTTGGGCTCAGTTGTGGTCGTTAAGTTGAGGAGTACCTGTAGTTTCGAGTTCCCTCCAGGTCCACAATTCTGTGAAAAAAAAATAAATCGTGTTCTGAATTTTGGCATCTTTGCCACATAATTTTATCAGTGCTTCATGTGAGGACCTAATGATATTTAACGAGAATAATGAAGGCCAAACATTGGGGGCCCAAATCCCAAAGGCTTTTTTTTTTTTTTTTTTTTTAAATAACTCAGCGCTGTAAGGAAGCCGCGACCAAAAACTGCTTGGGAGTTTCGGGAAGGGCAAGACCGGCAGAAGGAAAACCGCCGCAAAACTTCCTTTAATGGGGTGGGCAACCCGAAAGCGAGCGGGGGATGCTTCAGAAACTTCGTTGTCGAGAAGGGAGCGGCAGGAAGCCGAAAAGCCGCCGATTGAGACCGATCCAGCCGCGCCCCACTTCGCGCGGTCTGAAGGCGGCGGGGCTGAGGGGGGGAGGCGGGGTGGGCTTCGTTGTTCGTGGCTTGACAGGCGAGGGGGCGGCAGGAAGAAAACCCACCAGCATCCAGCCGGCTCGATCTCGTCTAGCCCTGAAAGGCGGAGGCGGGAAGCACGGGGAGGGGCCTGGGCAGGCTCAACCACCATAAATGGCGCCCATCCGGCTCTTCGCCCGCAAAGCAGCACGAGCAGC